GAGACAAGAAAGGCAAGGCTCACCAAACCATCCATCTCTCCGCCCCTCAGTCAATCCCACCTGCGTTTATCAGCCAGGCTGGCACAATAAACTATCTCACCACCCTTTCCACAACGCAGGTGCGTGTACACAACCCAAAGCCCTTGTAACTTACTGGTTACACGTTGAGCTGCTACCTGCAGGATCAGCTTCGATGAGGTTTTCTACTCCCGTGAAGAGTGACAGTCCAGGACACCCCCAGAGGCAGTTCTACTCTGCCCTACAGGGTCGCTGTGAGCCGGCATTGACTGGATGGCTGCGAGTCTCCCCCCGAGTGGATTCTGCCTCCTGCCCCCTCAGTGGCGGTTTCCAAGGCTTTTAAACCTTTCCAGGAGCCAACAGCCTATCTGTTTCCTGAGGGGCAGCTGGTGGATTTGAACCACTGACCTTGGGGTTGGCAGCCCAACCTTTAAGCCTCTGAGCCCCCTGGGCTCAAATGATATCTCTGACTGGTATTAGTCACCTAGCAACAGATGCCTACCCTCCTCAGAAGCGCCCTCTCGCTCTGGGGTGGGGTGAGTGTTTCTTGGGGTGCATCAGAAATTCCAGGTGAGCTGGTAAAAATAGTGGAGTCCAGGCTCTGTGATTTAATTGTTGGGAGGTTTCAACATTAAACAAAAATTCTCCAAGTGATTCTAAACCCAAACCTCCAGCCTCCCAGTTGGTTCTCACTAGTGGAGGCTGAGTGAGTGAACGGCCTGAGGGCTTCCGAGGCTGTGGGAAGCCATAGCCCCGATGTCCCCTGGAGGTGGCCCACAGCGCTCCACCACCTTTCCAACCAGCAGCTAACCCTAACCCTAACTCCAGCCTCCGTGCCGGCAGGGTCCTGTCCTCAACAGTGCAGAGGTCTCCAGGGCGCGCAAGTAAAACCAGCGATGAGCTGGCTGGGCTGCAGGGGTTGGTTCTAGGACTCGGACTGACCCTCTGTGAACTGTGGGGATTACATGATACGGGCAGAGCCGAGAGTGGGATTTAGACCCTCAAAGTGTGGAAAGGTGTGCTCTGGCAACTCGAGGGTGGCAGGAAGATGCTTGATATTCACCTTCATGAAAGGATCACTGAAGTGTGGTGAAGAAAGTAGTTGGTGCCGGCTATCAACGGGAATAGTGTCCGGGGTCTTAGAGGCTTGTATTCAAACAAGCAGCCATGTATGCAAGGAGTCAACTAAGTCCACGCAGAAGCAGCACACCATCTTGTGTGATCTAAAGATGACAATTACAAAATTCAAATATGCCGAAGGGAAAAGTATCAAAGCTACCATTGTGATGCCCAATTTGTGGAAGGCTATGGACAGTGGGAACCCAAAGCCCATCTGTGATAGGCACATCTGCTGCAGAGTATCTGGTCAGACTGAGCCGGTGGCAGATCCACTCTAGCCCCAGGCAAGAGTTTCCAACAGCCTTGCTGTTAAGCCGAGACCCCTGTCATCTTGAATATGTGGAATAAAACTGGATACTTGGCCAGACGACCTGGATTGGTTCGACCTTCTACTTGTTCTACGACAGAAATGTCTCCTCTGGCTTTCGTTTAATGTTGACGGGGGTCTTTTCTTTTCCATTACTTGTACTCTGGTCTTTGTATTATTTTACCCTTAGCACCTTATTTCCACTTTGCTTTTTATTGTTTCTGTTGGGCTTCTCAGTTAGTGAAGCACAGGAGTGGATACATAGAGATAATAACTGACATACAGGGTTGATGGGGGGCTGAGGGGTGGGGGTGGGTGATATAGAGGGAAATGAAAAATGAAGGCGGGAGGGGGAGGAAGCACTCAAACAGATTGTGATTGCACAACTCATTTTAAAGCCCATTTAATCATGGGGGGATGTTCTAAAATCGATAAGGTGATGATTGTACAATCTTCTAGATATGATTAAACAGTTGAACTAGTGAATTGTATGATAAGTAAATTATGCACCAATAAAACTCTTATTAAAAATAAGAGTAGCAGGAAAAGAATGATTTCTCCCTAGGCTTCAGCCAGGAGCACTGGTGGTGTGCTGGGGTGAGCCCTGGGCTGTTAACTGCAAGGTCAGTAGTTCAAATCCACCTGCTGCTCCACGGGACAGAGGGGTGGCTGTTTGCTCCTGGAAGGATTTGCAGGCTTGGAAACTTGGTGGAGTAGTTCTTCTCTGTCCCACGAGGTGATGGCTGGGTCAGAAGAGAACTGATGGTAGGTTTTCTTTGTACTACAGCCAGTAACGGGTGAAGTGTATCTGAGAACTCTGAGCAAGTGTGTTTTGTGGGTCCATTGTGAGTAGTGACACAGTGCCTCCTGAAGGAAGGGAGTGGGGAGCTCAGGGGAGGGTGCAGGGGCAGGGCAGCACGTGCCCTGGAAGCAGACCCTTTAGGACAAACAGCCACAGCTGCTGTGGACTGGGATGCACCCCACATGGACCCCACTGAACTGGAAGGGCGACAAATGGGTTCATGAGGCCCCAATGGGCAGCTACTCTGGGCACAGGCCTATAAGTTTTCGAGGACGGAGAGAGGCCGGATCTCCACTGCTATGAGCAGTGTTTACACGTTGAGTGTTGGGATGTTTGGATGCACTGCTTGTTGGGAAGATCTGGACCATGAACAGAGAAATTTATTTGCCCACGACCATTCTGAGGTTTATAAGACCGACCACGGGCCATACAGAGGGATCTACCTAACAATTAGCCTGCTGTGTTTGGTCATGTAATTAACTGGCCCTAAGGTGAGGCTTGGAGTTCTGGTGGCATATTGGTTACGCGTTGGGTTGCAAGGCCAGCAGTTCTAAGCCACCAGCTGCTCCTCTGGAGAAACACGAGGCTTTCTGTTCTCATAGACAGTTCTCCACCCTGTCCTAGAGGGTTGACAGGAGTCAGCTTCACGTGGATGGCAGTGAGCGTGGTTTCTGGCTTAATGTGTGGACAAGAACTATTTCCCTTTGGTGAGGCACCTGATGGGAGCTGGTACTGATTTCTCAGGCCTTATGTGCCTGGGGCTGGATGAAAGAGGTCCAGCACCATCTCCCTACCCCACAGTGACATGCAGATAACCTGGCAGTGACACCCTCACTTGGAGACCAGAAATCAAAGCTGTGGGGACAGGTCCGTTCTCACACTGAGGCCACAGCAGCCACCAGGGGGCGCTCAGAGAGCACCGTTGAATCCGCTCTAAGGTGTGGCAGTTACATAATCTCCTGTCAACTTGTGAAGGGGTGGAGTCTAGCCTGTCAATCAGGTTGCAGCTTGATGACCTCATTTGGAGGTGCCACCAAGATCAATAGCTCACTGGAAGCCAGATACATGTGGACCTTCTGCTTCATCTTCCTGCTGACAAGACACATGGAGCTACGTTAGAGCCCTGGAGCCATGTGGAGACCTATGCCAGGGTTGACATGCTTCCGCTGCCACTGGATCCATAAGACTTCCCACCCACTGGCCTGTGACCTTCCTGCATTTGGCATAATTGCATGTATTGTGTGAGTCTGAAGAAGATTTCTAGACCGGTACCAGACATATGGGCTAATCTAGAACTTATGGACTTGATCTGGACTGTGCTAGGATGTTTTCTCAATATACAATTGCTCTTGTATATAAAGTTCTTTCTTACACACATATAAGTGTCTCTGGATTTGTTTCTCTCGTCTACCCAGACTCACAGAAGGCGCACGGTCAGGGAGCCACAGGCCATTGCACCTTTAAATAAAAATACTTTATTTGTTCCTGACAGGTCATCACATGTACACGGTGACAAGGTAGACCTCGAGACAGCAACCTGGGGGTGTCAGGAGGGCTTGGGTTCACTGTCGTCCCCCCCGCCGGCTTGCTGGACAATGGCTGAGCGTGGACAGACGTACAGACACATGGTTTCCATTGACATTTGAGACGAGTGGAAGCGGGCACTGGGTCACGTGCTCTTCCAGCTCACATGACGCAGGCGACAAGGGCAGGGGAGGACGCGCGGGTAAAGTGCAGCAGCAGCAGCAGCGCGGGTCTGTCTGGGGCAGTCTCCTTGGGACCCAGGGCTTGCTCGAGTGCAGAGCAGTTCTTGAGTGCTCAGACCCCGCTCTGCCAGGCCCCACCACCGCTCACGCTGAGCCTCTCCCGGCTCGACAACAGCCTCAAAGGGGTCCTTTAGACCTTGGGGACCATCAACGCCCACAGCAGCAATGGCTCTCGGGGTTCCCCGTGCTGTCCCGGGTGACAGCATCATTCACCAGGTGCGAGGGCCCCTAACACCCGGTAGATGCTCGGGCACCGGCCACCAGGGCAGGCCGGCCGCGGGAGGTCTTGGTGGCATTGATGGTGGATGAGGTGACTGACCACACCATTGCCCAGATGCAGGGCGGTGCAGTGGGATGTGGCGACCTGGCTGTCGGCGGGCCCTGGCCTCGATCTGCTCGTGGTCAGTCTTCCCCGTGGCGCCACTTCTGGGACTCGTCCTGTCGCACGTCCGGCCGGATCTGGTTCCTCATGCCGCCCAGCACGTTGGAGGTGGCCTCCGTGGCCATGATGAGTGGCCGAACCATGGCCGGGGGGATCTGGCGCAGCACCTCGCCCACGGCGCCCGTCACGCCCCGGCTCTCGTGCTCTCGGGCTGCTGTCTCATAGAGTGTCTGCGCCGTGTCTGTGAGGCCCTGGGGGGGTGGGGATGGGGTCAACTCGGGTACATGCTACCGGAATGACCAGCCTCCCGTCATCACAGCCAAGCCCACTGCCCTGTGCAGACCTGTTGGGGAGCAGACACCTTTCTCTGCCGGCCTTGCAGTGAGCGGTCCCACACGCAGGCCTCTGACTGACGCTTACCACGGGTACACTCCCCCTGCCCCACCGACAGCCCAGCCAGCGAGGTGACCTCAGAGGGGACACAGCTCCCAGCGCTGTCTGGGCGCTGTCTGGACTTTGGGAGGGGCGGAAACGCCCCGGCCCGCTGCTGTGCTGGGCAGCCCTGGTGGCCCAGTGGGTTAAGCAGGGCACTCACCTCCTTGACCACGCTGTAGGCCTTGGCCACACCCTCCCTCAGGTCGGCGGGTTGGTGGGCCAGGCGGGGGTGTGGAGAGCGTTTGCTCCTGCTGGGTGTGATGCAGAGTGGGCCGGGAGACACCATGTCGTAGGCCGTCTCGGCTGCAGCCTGACGGGTTGTCAGGAAGGAAGAGATGAGTCAGAGGGGGCTGTGGCCACGTGGTTGTCCAGCGAGTGAGGCGGTTCGGGCACTAGATTCCCTAGAGGCTCCAGGGCTCAGAGCTACTGCCCGGGAGTGACGCCCGGAGCTTTTGGGAGGACCTGCTGAACACAACCAGGGGCCTGCAAGCCCTGGGTGGGATTTGCATGTGCGGTCTGGGGGCCCGCGTGGTGTCCCTGTACCTGTATGGTCTGCACCATTCTGTTTGTCAGCTCCAGGGCGGCCATCGCAGTGGATGTGCCGAAGGACGCAGCTCCCCGCTGGAGGCCCCTGACGATGCGTCCATCCTTGCGGTACTGCTCGATGGGCAGCCAGACCAGGTCCCTGAGGCCTTGTACTGCAGCCACGGGCACACACAGGTCAGCACGCACCCTGGCCAGTCCCCACCACCCACCCTGGGGCGAGCACCGTGCAGGAGAGGTGCTCAGTGAGGCAGGCTCCAGAACCCACCAGACAACATGCATCGCCCTTGACCAGAAGTACAGCTTACCCAGCTGAACCAGGGAGTGCATGGGCCCCACTCCCCCCAGGATGCCGGGCAGCTGGTTCTTCTTAATGTCGCTCAGCCACTCGCTGATGGCGTATGAGAACAGCTTGTCCACACCGAGCAACCTGCAGCAGGTGGGCAGGTTAGACTGGGGCACATCCGCACTATGCACACGTGCGTGCACACACACCACACCACACGAGTGCCTTGTCATGTGTTAGGTCTTGGACACACAAGGATGTGGGGGAGGATGAGCTGGGAAGCACATGTGCATCCACACAGGTCATGGACAGAGACCACTGCAGGCGGACGGCACACGCTGGCTGTGGAAACGCTGGTGCTCAGCCTGTGCTGAGCCCACAAGTGCCTCCTGAGCAGCAGCTCCGCTTACCCGTGCCGGTAGAAGAGCCTCTTCAACTTCAGCTCGGAGCAGTTCAGCTGGGCCAGTCCAATCAGAACCCCGGCCAGCGTGCCCTAGGGAAGGAGAGGGCCAGGCTGTGGGGACCTACAGACACCACTGAGGACGGGGGTCTGGGAGCCCAACAACATGCCCAGGGGAAGCAGAAACCCTTGGGAGCTATGACCACCTGGCCCAGCTCTACTGCACTGTGTCCCCTGGACTGAGGTGGAGGGCGTCTAACTTAAGGACAATTTGATCTGAACGCGTTGTAGAGTTGGCCTGGGAGTCATGCAGGGCTTTGGCGCTGACCCCAGGTAGCCCAACATCTGTGAAAATGTGATTCCCCCAAAACTCAACCAGGCATTGTCTACTACTGCCTGGTGAGTCCCCTCTGCAGGCCCGTGTGGGTCCGACACTGCAGGGCACCGAAGCTGCCTCTTCAGCATGGGAGAGAGGCTTCTGGGTGGCAGGCCCACCGCGGTGCGGCGGCAACTACATGCTCCCTTCCTGTCTGACAGTGGCCCCGTCTCCAGCATGCACTGAGCAGCTCAGCTTGTTCTGGCAAGGTTATGCTTTCATGTTTCCTGGGAGCACTCCGTTGTCACAGGGCGGGGTGGGGTGGGGGGGCACTGCGCACCAGCCCCAGGCAACAGGCAGAGCTGAAAACCACTCGGGAGCTGAGCTGGCACTTCTTGCCTGACAGGCGAGGCGCCTGGTACTTAAGCAGGTACCATCAACACTTGTGCTCACTGCCATAGCAATGAGGGAGGTGAGGTGGGGGGCCTGGAACTACCCCAGGGGTCCTGGGGCGGGATGGGGGGGCACCTCGGAACTATTCCAGAAGTTCTGTGGACACCACAGCTCACTTCTACCAGTCAGGATGGAGGGATGGGTCCTGAGGGGCTTGTGTGCATCTCCCTGGCGATGACCAGAGCCATGCGGGGCGTCACATCTGCTTTATCCGTTCCGTGACAGCAGATGATACTCTGGCACACACCTTTGTTTCATCGTCGATGACACACCGGGCTTTTAATGTTTCCACTACTTCTAGGCCGTGTGCTTTATCTGCCAGTTTCCTCAAATTGTCACGTCACAGCTCTCCCAAGAGCTTCCCGGAGTATTTGTGGGAAACACACGTGCTGTGTGTGCATGGCCTGGCTCAGGGGCCCACGGGGTGCCGCCCACACTCCCCAGTGGCATCAGACAGAGGGCAGCATTGAAGCGGCGGGCTGTGCACTTTGTGGGACGATCTGTGCCAAGGGCTCGAACCTGATCCATGGAGACGTGCTTGCCGTGGTAATCGAGCCGGATGGGAACTTCTGAGATGAATCTAAATTCCCTGCAGCAGCAGGAAGGAAGGGACTCATTACATTCGAAACCAGAGGCCCATGAATGTATGCAATCAGAGCACAAACAGCAAACCAAAAACAATGACGACGACGCTGACTGTAAGGGCTAGTAGACAAGAACATCTTGTCATCTCTACCTTTTCTGGCGTCTTAGAACCGGGCTCACCTCACTCTAGTTAGGCTGCTCTGTTTACCCAGCGCTGTGGGAGATGGTCTCGACTGCCGCAGGAGACCGCTCTCGAGGAAAAGCCTTAAGAGGAAACCAAACAGTCTTCCTCATACTGGCTGCCGTGGCGTGGGGTGGAGGGGATGGCACCGTCTGGGCTCCACAGTGGAGGGCCTGGGAGGTCACCAAGGCGCCCTGCTGGCACAGTGGTTTTCCCCGAGCCACTAACCACAAGGTCAGCAGTTTAAAACCACCAGCCGCTTGTGGCAGAAAGACAAGGCTCCTGGAAACCCACAGGGGCAGGTCTGCCCCAGAGGGCTGCTGTGAGTCCAAACCCACTCCGTTTCCAGACCTCTGGGGCCAGAGGAGCCATGTGGAGAGCCCTGCCAGCGCTGAAATGCTTCCGCTGCTGGATCCACAAGACTTCCCACCCACTGGCTTGTGATCTTCCTGCATTCGGCGTCATTGCATGTGTTGCATGAGTCTGAAGAGGACTTTATAGATTGGTATCAGACATAGGGGCTAATAATGGACTTATGGACTTGATCTGGATTGGACTGGGATGTTTTCCCAATATTTAATTGCTCTTGTATATAAAGCTCTCTCTTATACACATGAGTGGCGATGAATTTGTTTCTCTAGTCAACCCTGACTGACACAGTTACCAAGCATGGCAATGACAGTGATGATGGGAAGAAAGGGAGAAAAGAGGGGGATACAGGGAGGCAAGGATGAAGCCAGGAGGAAGGAATTCCTGCCACAGAATAAATGGAGAGCTGGATCTTGACCTGAGGCTATGGGATGCAAACCCCACAGAAACAGCACTGCAGACAAGCTAATGTGATCTATCTTTTGTCTATCAGGACAAGAGACCAGAGGAGCTAGGTGGTGCCCGGCTACCATATCGTCTTGCTTGGAAAGGGATCACAACAGAGGGTCCTGCATAGAAGGGAGCAAAGGGTGGGCCCAAACTCAAAATCATCCAAAAGACAAAGCTTAGTAGTCAGACAGAGGAGCTGATGGGCCTTAGCTGCCCCCTTATTCAGGTGTGGAAATGAACTCACCCCTGGGGCTCAATTTCTCACCAAACAGTAGACAGGTGCATGAGGGGAACTTACACATACCTTAAAGGAGAAACCACTAGAACATCGCTTGTCTCAAAATGGTACCACTTACCTGAAGAACACAGGGTGGCCTTCAAACGCCTCAGCTGAGAGAGCCTCCTCTTCCTCGCCGTTGGCCGCCAGGGCGGAGTTGGCACCGTCAGGTTTGGGTCCAGGGAAAGAAAGAACAAGGTTTGGCTCCTTGGAGGTGCTCAAATGCCTGGGCAAAGTGCAGGTGACATCAGCACCGGGAGAGTTCCTCACTGAAAAGAGCCGGGAAGATTTGACCAGTGAGGGCTGACCGAGCTCGCGGTGCTCTGTGCATTTCACAGGTACAGCGGTGGTTCCTGGGAATGTCGGCCCTCAGTTTCCCCGAAACCACATTTGCATCAAGAACCAAGTCATCTGGGACACAGGTGCACAAGCCTCTCCGAGGTGCTCTCTCACAGCCAAACCCATCTAGTGCTCCAGGGGGGCGCTTTCCAGGGACGGGGGTTCAGTACCTTCTGGGTCAGCAGCCATTAAGAGCTCCACCTCTGCAGAAAGGTTGGTGAAAAAGTCCTTCAGGAAGAACAGGGCATCCTGGAAATAAGAGATGCAGTGAAAGCCCGGAACGGACTCCTCTTTTGGAATCAGTGGCTTTGTCGTGGACCGTGTGCAGCATTGTGCGCGATCCCACACGCTCACGCACGTATGCCACACATGCACCCAGATGCATGTGCACACACACACTTCGCCACTTCTCACAAGTCTGAGGGCATCACTGAAACGTGAGAATGAACATACAGAGCAAACATGGGTTTCTGAGCCCATCCGGCTTCCTTCCGACGCCACAGGCGCCCCCCAGCTGACAGCAGCTCACTGCGAAGGAGGGCAGCAAGTGCCCTTAGCCAGCCAGGGGGGTGACACGCGGGATGGAAAGACAGACAACCATCCACTGGGGGTGGGGGCGGGGGTGTCTGCAGCTGCTTCCCCCGCCAACTGCCGGCTCTTCTCCATGTGACAACGAAGCTGCTTGAGTCTGCTCCTTGCTTCCCTGCGTCCTCACGTTAAGGTGTCTCAGGACAAGGGTGCTTCGGTGGGGAAGTGGGTGGAGAGTGGAGGTTTCCCCACAAACGCCGTGAAGCCCCTTCCCACTGTCACACTGTGACGGGGATGATGGGGTCCCGATGCGGGGCAGCACAACAGAAGCTGACCTGACCCACAACCGGTCTCCTTGACAGAAGTACAAATAGCACACACATGAGGGAGGGAGCCTGTGTGTGTGTGTGTGTGTGTGTGTGTGTGTGTGTGTGTGTGTGTGTAGGGGGGAGGCCTGAGTTCAGAGAAAGGAAGGCAGGAAGGAGGTCAGCGGGAGTCATTGTCATGCTCTGTACATGACACTAATTCCTTTGTTAAGTGCTGTCAAGTCATCTTCAGTTCATGAGGCCCCATGGTATTTGAAAAACCACTCCTTGACGACTTAGCAGTGCCACCTCTGGCCACTAGGGGGGAGATTGCACTGTCCTAGCTCAGGTTTCCCAAAGCTGGAGCCACGGGGCGGGGGCTAGGGGTGCTGCAGAAGCGGACACCTACACTTTCTCTTGGACCATGAGCTATGGTACAAACGTTTTAATCGCGGGGGCGAGGGCGGGGAAAGCACTGAGCACCTTTGCTTTCTGAAACGGGGGCAGCAAACTGCATCGGTTTGGAAACCTGTGTTACAGAGTCCAAGCCCGCCTTCCCAGGACCCAGCATCTTGGTCCCTCTTCTACACTAAGAAAAAAGAAGGCAAAGGACTGGGTTTAACCCATTTGTAACCACAACTGCACGAAACCGCAACAGGCAGCCCAGTGCCTTACAGCACTTTAACAAGGCTTCAGCTGCCGCTCTGTGTTTGATGTTGAACACGGTGTGCACAGGAAGGCCACCACGGAGCCGCTGCCCACACACAGAGGCAGCACTATGAGGCCTGGGCCCTGTGGGTGGTGTCAAAGGCCAGTCACTCAAAATTCCAACTCAGAGCGACCCTATAGGAGGGGCACAACTGACCTTGCGGGCGCCGAAGACTAACTTTTTACCGGAGTAGCAAGCCCTCTCTCTCCCCAGGAGTGCCTGGGGGTCTCCAACTGCTGATCTTGGGTTAAGAGCCCCATCAATGCACCAGGGCTCCTTGGAGCACGTGCGCTCCCTTGGAAACGCCAGGGAAGCTTCCTGTGCACTAAACAGGCTCCAGCGACACCAAGGAGGCGTGTCCACAGGGGGTCGTGCACACATAGGTGTAATGGCAATCTCAAACCAGCCCAGGCCAAAACAACGGCCCTCGCATGACTCGGCCGGCCGAGGACACAGGAGAAAGGACACAGACAAACTGGCCTCCACGCTGACCCCCGGTGGGGCTCTGCCATCGCCCCTTTCCAGCTGACCCTCTCCCAGCCAATGTGACCGCATCTGGAATGGGAGTAATTCCTAGGGGGAGGGGGTCACTGCTTAGGGGACACTGTGCTTCAGGGAGGGCCATGGTGAAAGCAGACCAAGCAGCTTCCTTTGCCGAGCTGCGTGAGGGCAGTGGGAAACACTGTTCCACCATGAAATGGAGACCGCCCTGTTACCATCCGTGACCACAGGCCCTAAGCCAGAAATGGCCCTTCATGTTTAGAACAAGCAAACAACAGGCGCCGGCACTATTTCCCAACAGCTTCCACCTTTGGGTGAGGCTCCCCCCAATCGCCCCCCTGCTTGGGACCCAGCCTGGGCTAAGCAGAAGCACTCGCCCCGGACAGGAGAGGACCACAGAGCTAGGTCTCCTACCTATGCAGCTGTTCCCTAGGGCCTGGTACCCTGGGAGGCCTGTTCTCCCAGCGCCCCTGCCAGGGTCCTGTGTTTCTGGCCTGGTCTTGTCCTAGGCTTCCCAACGCAGGGAATTCTTTCCGTAATCCCACTGCTGGCTTTCCCAAAGGCAGGTGTGTCCTGATATGAAAATCAAAACACTTTGTCGTTCTACGGAAGGAACTCAGCTCAGTGTTCAGAGGACCAGGCTGAATCTGAGAACCTGGGGCCTTGCTACACTGCAGGAGTCAGGGCTCTCACCCTGGAGATTGCCACAGCACATTGCTACCAGGCCGATGCCAGGAGACCCGGATGGTCTCACTGTGAGAAAACACGGCTCGTTGGCCAGTCTGACTGGCTTCAGAAGCTGGATCTGGTGGCCCATTGTGAGGCAAGCCCAGAGCCGGGCTCAGCCCTGAGCTTCACAGACCAGCCTTCTTGACAAGGTGGTGCTAGCTGGGCTACCACAGGAACATCATTCGAGCCAATTCCTAAAACATTTTGAATGAATGAACTACATTAGCCTAAGTTTTATAACCTATGGGCACCAAACATGATTTTATCACTATTGAAGCAGAGGTCTAAAGTCAGTACTCATGTAAACACTCCCGACCTCAGCACACAACTTAGGCAGAACAAGAGGTTTTGGCTTCAAAACACACACACACACACACACACACACACACACACACACACACACACACAAACCCCGAGTGTGCCTCTGCGCCCCACGCTTCAGTGAACAGCAACCCCAGATACAGTCCCAGCCCCGCTCTTCCCTCGCCACATACCTGGTCGATGTTGAGGCGAAGGGGCATCAGGGACACGCGCAAGCAGCATTCCTGGGGCGACCTGCCAGACTCGGGGCGCACGTGCAGTGCTTTGATCGTCAACTAGAAGAGTGAGAAAACACTTCTCCTAGTGACCGTAACCATGTCCTCACTGGAGGTTCTCTTCTGCTTCCTCCATGAGAACAATCATGGGAAGTGCTTCCTCCTGCCCTGCAAGTCCTACTTTGTCTGTCTCTGTGGCCACTCCCCCTCCAGCAGCCTGGTTCCGAGGAGGAGACAGGGGTGGGGGTTGGGGCGGGGGAGAAGCTGGCCCGTGCCCCACCTGCTCCATTCACTACAGATCGTCAGGGCATAAGACAGGGGACTGCTCAGCGCTGGCCTCTATGAGCTTTGGCTCCTCTTCAGGGGTCAGCACTCGGCAAAATTGTTTTAAAGGCAGAAAACGTTCGACTGCACATGAATGACGTGGGACGATCCTATCGGACGGAGAGAGCACACGGACCGGGCCTTACTTACCATGTTGGAGCGGGCTTTGCGGGGCATGTCTTTGCTGCAGTACAGGTACAGGAACTTGTTCATCTGCGAGGTGCGCAGACGGTCTCGGATCTCCAGGTCCTGGACGATGAACACCTGCCGGGAGACGGGCTGCTCCACCAGGCTGGCGTCGTGCTCCGGCCGGCCCCGGGGGTACACGTCGTGCTGGAACTTCACCTTGACAAGGGGACACAGCACATGCTCCCATCCATGCCCGCTTTGCCCTCACTCACTGCCTTCTGCAGCTCCCACGTCTGCCTTCAAGCCCACTGCCAAAGCCCCACACAACCCCACCCTTTGTTGCAGACTTGTTTCTGACCCGGGTGGCCCTACTCTCAGGCACACACGTGGTGGATGCTTCTCATGCGACCTCCCTTATCCCAGTTAGATCAAACCACCACCTTGCCCACCTACAAAATGGCCTTGAAAACGAACAAATGGAGGCATGGCTTAAGTCCCCAAAGGGAGCTACCTGAGGGTGACTACAAGGGACTGAAAGAGCTGGAGGAAACCGGAATTGAAAGAGAGTGGGTGTTCTCTGTGAACGCCCATCCTCTTCTGATAGCACCCCCCAGTGCTCACAGCTGGCCCTACCCTAGCCCTGAGGAAGCTGCCTGGATTCAGGGCACACGCTGGGAGTGTTGGTCCCAGTGTTGAAAACAGCAGCTTTGGCATCACCTGGGCATGAGCAGATCAAGTACCCCACTAAGGCAGAAACTCTGGAGAAGGCCAGCATTCTGAGCCCCCTCGAGCCCTGTTGGTGGTTTACGCACACCGCCCCAGGGCACCGACATAGCCTGGCACCGTCCTGTGGCGGGCCTGGGCCTGCTCACCTTGCTGAGCTGAATCTCCATCAGGAAGTCCTGGTTCCTCCCTTTCCCGCCGCCGCCGGCGGCCGTGTGCTGTCCATGCCTGGTGGGGGTGTGGGAGGGCGAGCTGTGGGGGCTCCTGCAAGTGAAGACGAAACCAACAAGAGGCTGTGCTGAGGGGCCGCTGACTGAGCTCAGTGGGGCTGAGAAGAGAAGGTAAGATTCTGACCCAGACGGTGCCCTCACTGTCCTTCCCCCAAGCCCACACACCCACAGAGCCCACACAGCAGTCACCCTCCAGGCCATGCAGAAATACCCCACCACTGTGGCCCCAAGCCCATTCTCAGTGCAGACTAGAGCTCAGAGCCCCTGCAGGGAGGACTCAGTCTCTCAGAAGCCTACGTCCACTCAGAGCCTTCCAGGGTCCTGTGCTGAAGGGCCTTGGCAGATGTCACTGGGAGAGTGAGAGAGGCCGGTGTGGGCTGGCATCATATCTGCTCTGGTTCACAGGGCCACCTGCCCGGCCAGCTCCTCGACTGCTGCTCTGTCCTAGCCCAGGGTGGCAGCTACGGGTCTCGGATGTGCAGCCCAGGACCCCTCCCCCAGCTACACAGCATCCCGTGGGCCGTGAGATTTCCAGTGGCTGGTTTTTGGAAAGAGCCTACCAGGTGGTTCTTACTCGGGAAGTGGAATCTGAAAGCCATCCTCCCGGCTGCCCGGCTGGTGTTTCCAACTCGGCAACTGGGCTGGCTCCCAGCATCGTCACAGCCCACCTGCCTGCCTGGGATGGCAGGGACAGATGGGTAGTGGCCAGCGGGCCGGGGCACTGGGCATGCTGGTGATGCACAGCACCCTACTGGGCAGAGAATGGAGCCGTCCCGCTGGGCTCCCATGGCCAACCCCTTTCTGGAGCAGATGGCCATACCTCTCTTCCTCAGAGCCGCCGGCAGGTTTGAACCACTGACCTTGTGGTGAGCGCCCACACTCTCTAACCACTGTACCACCTGGGCGCCTTTCACACGGGGACCACTCACTGCCATCAAGCTGACTGCACAGGTCCAGTAGTGTCGTGGCCTGCTAACTGCAGTCAGCAGTTCGAAGCCACTCTGGGAAAAAGATGAGGCGCTCTACTGCCACAAAGAGGGACAGTCTCAGAAACCCACAGGGCTGCTACGAACCAGTGAGTCTGGGTGTCACGGTGAGTCTGACTCATAAGGATTCCACAGGGCAGAGAACAACTAGATTTCCAGGCTGTCTGTCTGTCCAGGAACAGGACAGAAGAGCAGACAGCCTCATTGTTTCCCTCAGGACAGCTGGGGGATTTGAACAAGTGGCCTTTTGGTAAGCAGCAAAGTTCTTTAGCCAATGTACCAGCAGAGCCCCTTCCTTCTGTATTGGGAGCCTCCGTCTAATGACGTGTCTTTCTAAGAAGGCCACGCAGAGACAGAGGCAAAGATGGGGGTTAGGAGGACTGCTGGACACAGAAGCCAGGAGAGGCCCGGCAGAGCCAGCTGAGCCTTCTGGGCCACTGGGCCTGCGACACGGGGGCTGCGAGCACTGGGTGACTGCCACGCCCACCAGGCCATCTGGGGCACATTCACACCAGAAACCCTGTACAGTTCGGAGTTCAAGCCCGAGACAGCTCAGTTACAGAGGAACCATTCTGGTCAAGCTGAAACCCCAACCACCTGAAGGATGACTGTGTCCTCGAGGCCGTGGCTGCCCTGCCCCAGACACTCAGAACCTGGGACCTCCGTGTGTGGTGCGGGTGCAGGTGCTCCACTCGGCCCCTGGCCGCCAGTTGGATTCCCAACACAGCGGCCCACACCCTCTGTGCAGCAGTGCCTCCTCCCTGGGTTCCCTGACTGCATGAGCATCTCTGTCCATCTACCCATTCCTGTCCCACGCCACGCACTGTGGACATGGGATCGAGAGAAACCAGCCCCTGGAGAAGGACGTCATTCTGAGGGGCAGCGAGAAAGAGGAAGGCCCTGACAAGACAGAGGGACACGGGCTCGAACATAACCACAGCTGTAAGGACGGCCAGGACCAGGCAGCATCCCTGCCCATCGCAGGCCCCTAAGAGTCAGAACCGATCCCAACACCAACAACGCAATTGCCAGGCGCCCCAGTGGTGCGGGGCATTAAGCACCAGGCAGCTGACCCAGGTGGGGCAAGGTGAGGAGGCCTGATGACAGGCTGGGGCTGGGCCTGGACCAGCAGTGGTGCGCCTGGGGTTTCCCCAGCCCTCTCCGAGCACCGCTGGGCATCCCTCCAGAACAGGGACCAAGTGAGCACACCTCCCTCCCCTCACATGAACCTTTGAACCGAGGGCAGAGGTCACCCTGACACAGGTGCTGGCACCCCACAGGGTCCAGGGCAGCTGACTCCTGTGTCGATGCAAGCAGAGGCACACATGGGAAGGGGGGAGGGTGATTGCCTTACTAAAATTCTCAAAGTGATCAGTGCCCTGTCTCTTTTCCTGTGCAAAGAACAGGCTGCGCCAGGCAGACTCCACAGAAGAGAACTTACATGTAACTTTTTGCGGGTGATGAGGGAGGGACTGTCCCCAGATCCTTCCCGCCGTACAGGTGCCACACCAGGGAGACCTCCTTGACTAGGTACTGCACGGTGGGGGTGGGGAAGCGCAGCGGGGCCTTGCCTGCCTCAGCCTTCTTCACAGGCAGGCTGAAGTGATTCTCTCGGATCACAATGGAGCCGTCGACCATGACCTTCACCACGGGCTCCTCCTCCTTCTCCTGAAGCAGATGGACCACAGACCGCCCATCAGAGGATGGCCTGTCGCCCAGCAGAATCCCACATGGGGGGTGGGTGGATGGGGGTGGGGTGGGGCACACATCCTGGAGACTTTTCTGGCCAGTCGCTCCCCTTACCTGCACGGGTGCTTGTGGTGCAAACAGGACACAGAAGTCATCGCTCTCGGCGGGCACCCCTGTGGCCACGTCCCCAAGCAGGTGGGGTGGGAAGGCGGCACAGGGGGGGCCAGCTTCCTGGGATACATGGCCGCTCTCGTCGGGAAACAGGAAGAGGTCCGAACAGCAGGCCTCCTGAGTCTGCGAATTCTCATCCAGGACACCTGGGAGGGACGAGGACAGCACTGCCCTTGAGGCACCGAGCCCTGAGCAAGGCTCTCGCACCCGTGAAGACGGACGCCACTATCCTCCTGGGGCGCAGCAGCCCCCCGCCCACTGCGGACACCAACCAGTGATCCGTCACCTAACTCACTGGGCCCTAATGCGCCAGCATGAGCAAGTGTCGACAGGCTGACGGTGGACCCGACACTCCAGAAATGGTGAGCACAGGTTCCCCAGGCAGGGACAGGCCTCTCGGGACAAGTCCACATGGAACCAGGAAGAAGCCTTGGGGTGAAGTCACTGGGGACGGGCCAGACCAGAGCACAGGCCCGGGACCACTCAGCCAAAGTAGCACTCCTCAGCCACGGGGTGCCCAAACAGGAGGCTTGCTCAGGTGTGGGCCCAGGCAGCAGGTGAACATCGGCTTTGACTCCCTGGTATCAGGCCTGCCCATTCATTCTCCACATAGTCACTCACACCAGGTGGAGTCAGGTGTGACTGCGGAGGGTGACGGTGACATGAGCATATTGGCTTCTAGAGGCACACAGATGGGGCTGCAAACGCCCCTGGGGCCTGCTGAGGTCTCAGCCATGCTAACCCACGCTCTCGGCACCAGTACAGAATCTGCGTCCACTCGGGCACGGCTCCCAGATGATGTCCTTTGTGCTGTCAGGTGCCCTGGAGTTGTTCTGACCCACAGGGACCCAGCGTCCTCCTCAGTCGTTGCTGTGTTTGAGCTCCCTGTCTTGGCCTTGGGGTCAGTCTATCTTGTTGAGGCTCTTCCTCGACTTCAAACAGGATGGCCTCTCGCACGAGAGCAAACCCTCCGCTCCTCAGGGCGTCCTGGCTGCGGTCTCTCGCAGCACAGATTTGATTGTTCGTCTGCAGTCTACGGTGCCTTCAATATTTTTTTACCAGCACCGCCATCCTCCACCAGCCTTACCTATGCATTGTCTATCGGGGACAGGCTTCTTTCTGGATCAGACAGACTAGGAAGAAGGAAGCCCTTTGCTGGACAAGGTGGCCGTGGAAAACCTCAGGAACAGCGTGGACCACTGTCTGACCCAGAAGATGAGCCCCGCAGGGTGGAGGGCACTCAAACACGAGTAGGGACAGCTGTCTCCTCAGAGCCCGGCTGACCTAACACGGAGGATGAAGCAAAGCCCAGGACTCAGAGACAGCCACTGGACAGTCTTTCCCGTGTAATCTGATGAGCTAGCATTCATTGCATAACTCAAGTTCCAATTTGCTTCCTTAATTCTAATGCACTCTAAGTTAAAAGGAAAGCAATGTTTAATTATAAATTTTCATATCATCACGAAGTGATATTTCACAGTATACAAAAATAACCATTTTCATCTAATTAGAAGCAGATTTCTTAAGCTGATCCTGCAAAACCTGTAAATGCTCCCCCTCGGCTTTCACGGGCCTCTATCTGCCTGGTTCGCCCCTGCTCCACAGTCGCAGGGGTGACTGCTGGGAATGAAGGTTCTCGCCCTGCTCGGTCTGCCCCTTGATGACCTTTAATGCCCTTGCCCAGAGGACGGTCCACTCTGCTTCACACACTCAGATCGGTCACTTTTAGGAGGAAGTCCCACACCACACCCACCACTCCGAGTTTTCCTGAACTAGGACCCTCCAGAAACCACAAGGCTTGCCCTCCAGCTCCACCATCATCGCCACAATGCTGGGACACTGCTGGTCTGCTGGGCACTCAAGCACCAGCTGACTGGTCGGAAACAGCCAGCACCCACCAGGCCCGCCTCTTCTCAGACAAGTTCCTCACAAAGGGAACCCATAATGACACCCTGAGCACAGCAGCAGTGCCCCCACCCCCACCCCCCGCCTGCCTCCAAGCCGGTCTGAGCTCTGTCTCACCATTAGCCTGGGGCTTTGAGGACGCCAGGGCGTGCTGTGTGTCAAGCTCTTCCATGGCCTCACTCATCAGCTCTCGGAGGATTTGCTGCTCAGCTTCAGGGAGCACGGGGCCATGGGAGGATGGCTGTCCGCTGGGGTCTGCCTGCAACCAAAGAGCAGAAGTCAACGCAGTAAGGTGCGCACTAAGGCTGTGTGCCAGCTTGATCGTGCCAGGCTCCTTGGTGGGTTGACAGAGACCTAGTAAGTGACCGCCCAACGCTGTGACCCGCCCACAGTGTAATGACCTCCAGAAGAGAACTGCTGTGAGCCGCCAGCCAGGTGTAAGAAGATTAGTGGTGGATGGAACACGCTTACTTGGGCCACAGCCCCGATACAATCAAGTGAAAGGATGTGTTTTGTGTGTGTGTGTGTGTGTGTGTGTGTGTGTGTGTGTGTGTCCGGCTTCTGAAAAGCTGACTTGCTTTTTGTTGAGCCTGCATTGTGCTTCTTGACTCCTCCACCTCTAGTTCTTCGACTTGTGTCAATGGCCAGCCTGCCTGCCAGATTGTCTGCCGATCCTGAGAGTTGACAGTGGCCTGCCATCTGACCTGCCACCCTTGGATTCATTCACCTCTGCAGCCACTGGCCTGTTGTCTCCCTGCCAGTCTTGGGTTCATCAGCCTCCACAGCTACTCGAGTGGGGAGAAGCCTCCAGCCTGCCCGCCCGCTGGCTCCCAGAGTTGGAACGTGCCTGCTTTTACAACTATGTGATACAAATGTCTTTCTCTAAAGTGGTGGTTTCTCAACCTTCCTAATACCGTGACCCTTTAATACAGTTCCTCCTGTTGTGGAGATCCTCCAACCATAAAATTATTTTCATTGCTACTTCATAACCAATTTTGGTCCTATTATCAATTGGGCGACCCCTGTGAAGGGGTCGTGACCCACAGGTTGAGAACTGCTGCTCTAAGGCCATCTGTAGCTTCACTAGATTTGCTTCTTTAGACATCAAGCCTGAGACAAGGGCCCACAGTGCACATTCACTGTCCCTAGAAACAGGCTCCAATGCAGGAACATGTCAGAACAGGGACAGACCAATCCTTCCACATGCTGCTTACCAGCTGTCACTCTGCCACTCAAGTTTTCAGTACTATTATCACCCTTGATAATTAGCGGACAAGATACACAAATGTGTTGTCAGCTCAAAGACAAGTCAGAAAGATGGGTAAGAAGCTAATGTGGGGAGGGAGTGAACGGCCTATGTTTGGATGGCTCAGAGCTGACCCCCAGAGCCACAGCTGATTCAGGGCAGGGCCTCACCTCAGGACAGGGCCCTTACCCAGGGCAAGAAGGAGGGAAGGGGACGGTGCTCCCTGGGGCTTCACGCCAGTGCCAGCACAGCCTCTCATTCATGATACGTGGGTCCATGAACTTGAGAGCCTGCTTTGAATTTAAACATCCAATCTCCAAGGGGTTGCTTTCGATAAACTAACAAAACGGAGAATTTCTTTAACAGAGAACAAGCAGGAGCGAGGGGGTGTCCCACCACCTCATTATCAGTAAGAACTCAGTAGGGACCAAGCACTACACACCATCCTGAACCCAGAGGGCCCCTGCCCAGCAGCGCCTCACAAGAGCACAGGGTCAAAGGGACCACGAACCTGGATGATAACAAAACACGTGAAACTCAAATGCACGGCCGAGTCTGGACCCCAAAGTGCAGAGACTTTGGGCATAAAAAGCACTGAACTGGGAACCAATACAATGTTAGCTAATCTTGGGGAGATCCCCTAAATCTTCTGGGTCCTCATTTATTTCTCTGTCAAACAGATACTCATCCGTGACTCTGTTCTCAAGGAAGTTAACAGAGATGAACCCTAAGGCAGTGTGCTGAAAAGGGGAGGTGTGTGAGATCAAAGGACGATGTTGTGGAGTCTGTTCCAAATCACAGCAACCCAACACACCACAGAATGCAACACTGCCGTGCCATCCCCACAAGGACTGCTGCCTTCGAGCCACTGTGTCCATCAATCTCCTGGAGGGGGCCTCCTCTTCTTCGTAGACCCTCATGATGTCCTTCAGCAGGGATTGGTCCCTCCTGATCACATGCCAGCATGTGAGCGGAAGTCTGGATGGACACCCTCCCTTCTCAGGAACTTTTGCCTAGACTTCTTTCAAGACCGATGATGGAGCTCTGATCGGAACTGGGACTTTCAGTATCACCACCGAGATCATCATCTTCGGTCTTCCTCACTGACTGCTCCACTCATATACATGAGGCGAGTGCAGGCACCTTAGCCCGGGCCACAGAGAGACCTCAGAAGAGACGATGGCAGAAATAAGCCTTCCGGTCAGTAACAGGAGGGGCTGCAACGACTTTCTGGAAAAATTCCATTATCTTTTCATTCCAATTTTCTAAAAACTTTGTAAAGCCCCTCATATCTTCTCTTACTATGTGTACGTACAACTTGTATGTCACAGGCTCATAGATGACGCGTTCTCTGTCTCCCTGGAGGGCAGATGAAACAACTTAGAATCACCTGGCAGGAGGTAGCACCTGAGCCGAGTGGAAGCCGAGCTCTCAGAGAGCAGAGAGGGCGGCCCGCACAGCGCCCACCCAGGAACCTCGTTCCCAGAGGCTCACTCTCAGGGAGAGGGGGCAGTGGCCAGCTTTCCTGTTCTTTCCTCCACTGCCCCACGTTGCCCTGGGGGTGGGGTCGGGGGCGAGGTCTACGAGCTACCCCTACCTTGGCCTTTCTCCTCAGGGCTCCGGGCCTCACGCCTTCCTTGTGAGGTGCGTGCAAGTCCCCATAGCTGGCGATGTACTGGATGAGGTTCATCAGCGCGGCACACGAGTCCGAGCAGGTTCGGATGTGGACAACATCGCTGGAGCAGTGCAGCTGGAAGCGGGGTTCAGGCTGCATGGGGTGCGGAGGGAAGAAGGGAGCCATGGCATCCAGGGCACCCGTCCGTCACGGGAAACAAAGCCCACCCCCACCCCACCCCCGCTACCCGGACTTGTGCAGTGCTTCTATCAGAACCAAAATTAGGTGTGCAGAAAACTCAATTCTCTCAAAATGTTATCAAAACCACCCCTTTTACCCCAGAAACAAACACCTATTCATTGGATAACTTACGCGCTCTGCCTCCGAGTCCGGCTTCGCAGTCGTGATGGTTAGCTGTAGAAGGCCCATGTCCAGCACGCGGACGTAATCTAAAACGCACCACAGGCCCATCAGGCTCCTTGTCCAGTTAACAACTCGCAACACAAACCTGTGAACAACTCACTGGTGATACCACGACAGAATGCAGAGGAAAATTAGTTTCTTCCTGCAAAACTGCTCCCATTCACTTTATTTTAGTGAGAAGAAAAATGCTGCCTTTTGTAAAAGAAGTGCTTAGAGTCTATATCATGCCACTGACCTTTTAAGAACATTACAGATGGACATTTCCTAACAGCCCTACTTCACTGGAATTACATCAAATTATAAAGCTTTTAACATGACCAGAGCATGTACAGGGGTACAGATAAGAGCTGGAAACACAAGGAATCCAGGACAGATAAACCCCTCAAGACCACTAATGAGAGTAGTGATACCAGGAGGGTAAGGGGAAGGTGGGAGGAGAAAAACGGAACTGATCACAATGATCTACATGTGACCGCCTCCCTGGGGGACAGACAACAGAAAAGTGGGTGAAGGGAGACATCGGTCAGTGTCAGACATGACAAAAAATAATAACAATTTATAAATGATCAAGAGTTCATGAGAGAGGGAGGGAGGGTGGGGGGAAATGAGCTGCTACCAAGGGCTCAAGTAGAAAGAAAATGTTTTGAAAATGATGATGGAAACATATGTACAAATGTGCTTGACACAATGTATGTATTGTGATAAGAGCTATAAGAGCCCCCAATACAATGATAAAATAAAAAGAACAGTTAAAAAAAAACTTTTAACATATTCTCTCTCTTTCTGCATCCAGGCACCCATGTGTTTCAGATCTTATCCCCCAGCGCTCACTCACCTCTATTCAGGTTGACAGCAACAGTGTTGCACTTGTCAGACAAATGCAAAGCTGTTTCATCCAGGATGATTCTGAGGAAAGAAGGAAACAACACTGACAATTCAAAACAAAAAGTCTGATCCTGCTACATGCTTGTGAGGACTGTCGGGCCACATGGGATTTCTGACTTATGCTTGTGAGGACTGTCGGGTCACATGGGATTTCTGACGTATACTTGTGAGGACTGTCGGGTCACATGGGATTTCTGACGTATACTTGTGAGGACTGTCGGGCCACATGGGATTTCTGACTTATGCTTGTGAGGACTGTCGGGCCACATGGGATTTCTGACTGAGACGTGCCACTGAACATTCCGCTGCAGCTCACTGTGCGCCAGGGGATAAACAGTAACAAAATACCACCCCCATAGGCACAGCACTGATGCCGACCACAGCCACATCACCTACAGAACGGGGTGGAACTGTTCAGGACTGCAGCTTTCTCTTTACGGGAGAAGAAAAGCCCTGTCTTTCTTCTGAGGAGTGGCTGCTTGTTTCAAACTGCTGACCTTGCAGTTAGCAGCCCAAAGTCTGACCCCTGTGCCTGCCACCAGGGCTCCTGACTGCAAGACAGGGAGGCTTCAATGGGGCAAACAGTGAGATTAAACCATCCACTCAAATGAATTCCACATTTTTGGCAGTGTTTTCTTTTTTAATAGATGCTAACGTTTATGAGACTTTCTCTACAGGAGAAAGATTTACAGCCTTGGAGAAAGCAGGCCTACCGGGCCCTGCAGGGTCGCCTGGCTTATGATAGAAAGCGTTGACTTAACCAAGAACCCAGACTTGAAGGGCACTGCTGGCTTGGGGAGTCACTGAAGAGTGGGGGAGGGGAGGGGCCGGCAGGTACCTGAGCGTGGACGCCGACTTATCCAGGGAGACGCTGCTGGAGATACTGAACGTCTCTACGGTGAGAAGACAGCGGACTGGCAAGTAGAGAGGCCTGGAAGGAGGGAGGGAGTGAGCCACATGGGCAGGCACTCGCTCACTGTCAGAGCTGAGTACAAGGAGAACCAGCAACCCCCCACCGGCTCGCCCACCTGTAGTCTAGGGCACAGCTCCAGAGGTGAACGTGGAACGTTGTCAGCGACGTCGGGGGGCTATACCCTAACACGGGCTCATCAGCGGTGTTCAGGAAGTGCAGCATCTGGGAGCAAGGGGAGGGAACGGCTTGCACAGGGCAACCTCCAAACACCGAGGTGGGGTCACGGCGACTGAGGTAGGGCTGCTTCACGTGTGCACCCCGAGCTCGGCCTTGCACGTCCCAGGAGGCCAGGGGAGATCTCCTCAGGCCAGCCCGTGGCCACACCAGCCAGGTGTCCTAGCCCTTAAGTCAGCGGTTCTCCACCTTCCTAATGCCACGATCCTGGAATACAGCTCCTCATGTGGTGGTGACCTCCAACCATAAAATTACTTTCGTTGCCACTTGATAACTAAGTTTGCTACTGCTATGAATAGTAATATAAATATCTGATATGCAGGATGCATTTTCATTGTTACAAATTTTGAGCATAATTAAAGCATCATCATTCATCACAAACAATATGTAATTATATATTCTGAAATATTTATTTCTAATGACAAATAAATGAAATTTTGTCTTGAAGCACGGTGTAGCACGGGTAACAGTCTTTGCACTGGGTACTAGTATGTGAGCCCGGAGACAGAATGGAGCAGCGTCTTGGTTCCTAAGACCATGAGAATATGTGTTTTCTGATGGTCTTAGATGATCCCTGTGAAAGGGTCGCGACCCACAGGTTGAGAACTGCTGCTTTAAGTTTTAGAATCACTGGTTATTTTTCCAGCACAATGGAGAACTTCCTCTTTATAAGGAACGTGGGAAAGAAACGTAGCATGCCAGTCTTTGCTCTTACAGAAATAAAAGTTAGGACTTCTGACCCCAAATTCCCTCTGGAACACGGCCAACTGCATCTCACTAACATCAGAGTCCCTAAAATGGAAACGGGCTGTAAAGCAGGGCCACACGTTTGGCCAGGCTCGATCCGGCATTTGGAGAGCAGAGGCCACCACCACATGGCTCCTGCTCCTCCAGGCCAGGCGACGAGGCAGGTCCTGGGCGCAGTGACATAGAGACCAAGTCTGGTGAAGCTCCTCAGGTACAAGTACAACCAAACTCCTCCTGGGACTGATTCCTATCTTGGAAACAGGGTCGTGGCTTCATGAGACACCCAGTGAACTGGACTGTTACTAGGTGTTGTGCTTCTGGATCATTGCCTACGTAGTGTTTAGGTGTTGAAAGTTTCCAAGTGGCCACCCAAGGGAAGAGAATGCCGTGATAGAAGGGTGGGGGTCAGAACAGGAGGCCCATACGGATGCCCGCTAATCAGTACCATGGACCGCAGCCTCTTATCAGTTCTTATCATGAAGCCAGCTGGCGATCTCACCTGTTCGTGCCAGCTCAGCCCCGTGGGCAGCATCCGGTGCTGAAGCGTGGCTCCCTTCAGTCCCACCGCAATGAGAAACTCCTGCGGGACAATACAGCATCATGGGGCTCCCCGCTGTGCTCACCCCCCGCCGAGTTATGCCCCCCACTGCTGTGCTCACCCCCCAGTTATATCTCATCCCCGCTGTGCGTAACACCCCCCCCCAGAGTTACAGGGGCCCCCTGCTGTGCTCACTGCCAGAGTCATGACCCTCCCCCTGCCCCCCCCCCCCTCCCGCTGTGCTCACCCCCCAGACCCTCTGAACTGGGAACCCTGTCCACGAGCAGGTACAAAAGCCGCAGCGCAAACCTTGGTGTTGGATTCAGACTTGTCTGCCACGATTTCCACGGCCACTGAGAGCATGTTCAGGCCGTCTCCGCCAAGGCCGTCAGGAGCTGCCCGGCCGAGGCCATCTTCCTCCGAGGGGTAGATAGTGGGCTCCAGCCAGTGTGGGCGGGTGGCACTGGGTAGTCTTGTCTCGGTGAGAGGGGTCACTCCATCCACCAGGCCTAGAGGACAACACGCTCATCATTCCAACAGAAACCCAGGAACTGAGGAAACGTAAAATTCATCTTAGAGGCATCATGGCCATGAGCCTTGGAGCCCCCGCCCAGGGGCCGACTCAGCTCGGCAGACTGTGCCCAACTTCAACACACACAGCCCCGGCCTGAAGAGCCGGCCACGGGCATCCTAGCAGGAGGGTGGCCTGCATCTGGAGTGCATGAGTATGCACGGGGAGCACTGGCAGACCAGCTCTGAAGCGAGAACCAGGGTGGGAGCGAGAAGAGGGCTGTGAAGGCGGAATGTAGCCTGTGTTACGCAGGAGCCACGTGTAACGGGGTCTTGGAAATGCTCATCACCCAGTGATGGCCGTGTCTGAGTACAGTGGGTGCCACTTAGGCCCTAGTGACCGCACGGCCTTGATCTCTCTTATGTAGGACGTCCTTGGGCAGCCCAGTGCAGGCTCAGCAAAGGGTCTGGAGTTCCTGTGGGGAACGAGTTGTCTGGCGGGGCTCTCTCTCCAGGGAATGCTCAGAAAAGAAGACTGCACGGCCACTATCAAAGTTGACAAGCCTAGCCTTGTGGTGGGTCCGAGCACCTCACAGGGAGCTACTGGTAACAGCAGGGCAGTGAGCCTCTGGGCCCAGGGCCCTCCCTACCTTTGTGGTACAGGCTGAAGCTGCTGGCCTGCAGGCAGATGCAGTGCTTGTCATCGAAACCCTCATATCTCGTCACGCAGAAGAAGGAGCCGCTGGTGAAGTCCAACCAGAACTCACCGTGCTGGTCTGCCCGCACCTTGCTGTCACAGTTGCCTGGCTAAGAGAGTTGTCAGGACAGCGTCAGAATCCACGTCACCGCCTCCAGCCAGACAGAGCTTAGGAAACTCTCCCTGAGCACAGCGGGGTCCCTGGCTGCTGAAATGCCCACACAGCGGTGGGTGGCAGGAGGCAGGACCAACGCCATGCCATTGGCCGCTCTGTGCTCCCTGCCCCACGGCTCCACTCCTGGCTCTCTGCCGTGGGCAAACACCCACCGGAGGCCCAGCCCACCCCAGTCTCTGGGCGACGTGGGTGCCACCTTCCCAGAGTGCTGCCACCACAGGCGTCAACCCTCGCTGAAGCCACGGCCAGCTGGCTGCAGACACGTGAGGGTGTGTGTGTGAGTGTTCAAACACCAACCCACCGCACCAGCACTGAGTCACCCGACACGGCAGCCCTATCCAGGCTTTCCAAGTCTTTAAGATCACAATGGGTCAGACAGCCCGCGCTCTCTTCCTCAGAGAGGCTGGAGGGTTGGACTGCTGACCCTCACCCCCCGCCCCACCAGGGACAGCAGCATGGACTTGAAGGCCTCACCTGGACCTCGGTGAACAGGGACACCAGCCCGCGGTTGACGCTGAGCAGCAGGGAGAGGACGCTCTGCGAGCTCCTGTTGGGCGGGTCGGGCCGCTTCCTCCTGCGGGAGCGGTGGCCGGGATCCGTGGTGGGGAAGTGCTGCAGCGCCTCCTCCTCAGACCCGCTGTCCTCATCTAGGGGAGCACAGTGTTCTCACTCATCCAGAAGCCCTGAGTTTCTACCAAGAACTGGGCAGGGCGAGGCTTCAAGGGTTTAGATTCTCAATACACAAAGTGGGCTGACCCTTAGCACTGACCACGAGCCAGGATAAGGCAAAGCGACAGACGGAAAGACTGCCAGAGAAACCCTTTGAAACGCACAGCAGAGGGCTGGGCTGCTTTGGGTACTGACCCAGCAGGCCGCCCTGTGCAGAGCAGGAGGAAAACACCTTACCGTAGTGCACTGCAGATCTGAATGGACTGAAACTGTCTTTGCTGAAGGTATTAATCAGCTGACTGGCCACCGAGAGCCCAAAACCATAGGAGATATTTTCAAAGGTCTCCACTGGGGAGGGGGCAGTCGGCTCCCACAGGAGGAGGTCATTGAAGACCCTGCAGAGAAGGAGCTGATCAGGGAACCGGCTGCTCCGGCCCCCGAGGCAAAGGTAATCCCCTCACCCCCATCCCCTCAAGAGACCACGGGGATGCCATGTTTGTTCTTTGAGAAGGGCTCTTTGGTTCCATGGGTGTGTATGAGTGTGTGTGTGTGTCGTGGCACAGCAGGCATCGGCGGAGACTGGGGCTGAGTTACAGATGCCAGGTTATGCACTCGCTCCAGGGACAGACACACTCACTCTGCACCGGGCCTGTGAGGAAGCAGAGGCTGCCCTGTGTCAGAGCCGAACCCTTGGGGCCTGTCCACTGTCCAGGCGGGGTCACCGCTCAGGTTCACACACTCCCCATCTCTGGGCTCTCTGCCCAATCTCTCTTCCTTGGGAGACACCCGAGTGGGGGCTAAGGAACAGCAGATCCTTCTCAGCTAGTGAAGGTAGCCAAGCCGTTGCCAAGGACCAAGGGGGCAGTGGATGTCACAGCTGGACGACCACCAGCACGGCTCGTCTTCGTCCCCATCAGTTGTCCCTCCTCCCTCCTCCCCTGGGCCCGGACCTCTCAACCGGCAACTGGCTCTCTCAAAGGCTCTGGTCAGAACTGGATGGGTGGCACACCCTTCCCAAGGGGCCACACCTTCCAGTCCCAGCAGCTCCTTTTCCTTGCCCTCCCCAGACTGCACCCGTGTCTCCAGGGGCACCCAGGGCTGCCAGGGCACAGGCTCAGAAGAAGCTAAGCACGTGCTGGGAAGGACGTCACCCTGCCCTCCTTGTGAGGAGCCACGGGGTTACAAGTGACGACCTGGAGTGCCCATGGAGGCGACACTCACTCCATCCCAGGAAGTAAGGGCACACGGTGCCCCCACCCACCAGGGGCTGGGCAGTGTCTGCCTGCCTCACACAGCAGTTTTAGGGCTGTTGTCAGCACCTGGAGATGGAACTGAGGGCCCTGGAAGAGGGGTAGGCAGGGCGGCCAGCAGCCCGTCAGTCCCACTCAGACAGGTGCCTGCTCACCTGTTGTAGAGCTTCTCGTAAAATCCCTTGCTGGGCAGCGTCAGGCTGACGCTGGGAAGCGTGAGCTCCAGCACATACTGAGAGCTGCTGATGGCTTTATCCTGAAACTCGACCATTTCCACGGGATCCCCCGGCATCACCATCTACAACAGAAACATTCAGGGAAGTTGGGCCGGCCAGGGTCCCAGCGGTAGCGGCTGCAGCGTCTCCCCTACTCGGGAGGTCAGTGAAGGAGTGAAGCAGCTCTCCAGCTGCGCCAGGCCCGCCAGGAGCCACTGTCTCGGGCCGCAAGCAGACTGAGGGACAGGGACCCTCTGCTGCCGGGCGGCAGGGGCGGCACCAGGCTCCCCGGGGGCCTGACCTGCTCGTTCTCGAACATGACTCTGCGAGAGGAGAACGGGGACGGGGCTGGTCTCCGGAGGTCACACACGTCCTTCAGGGAGTGGGCTCCGCCATCCTCTTCCTCCGGGAAGGGGCCCTCATGGTCCCCCTCGTCCTCCTCCTCGGCAGCTGCGAGGCGCTCCAGGATGGAGTGCAGGGCCGGGGGGTTGAGCTTCAGGACAATCCTGGGGACACAGGCGGCCAGCGCTCAGCGCACAGGCCAGGCGTGAACCACGGCAGGCAGGCAGGCAGGCAGGGGCATCGGTGGGACGGGAAAGACATAGTCCATCTCAAACACGTGAACATTTTATTCCTGGCTGACTGAAACTCAGACCTTTTCGGGGCAAGGGGTTTTTAAACAAAGTCATTAGCAGCCAGGGAAATTTCAAAGGAGTCTCTTGTTCCTCCAGTGTCCCGCCGCCACACAGTCTGCCCTGTGACGACAGACTGTGTGCACCTGGGACCCAGCCACTTAAAAAAGCCAAGCACAATGAGGGGTCTGAGCAGGGGGCACGGCAGGCTGTCCTGGCAGGAAGGCCCGTGGCTGGGCACCGTGCCTGCCCCCAGGTACTCACCGCGGCCAGTCAAAGTCGTCGGAGGAGGCGGTGTCTCCATCCACTCCACTAGACACGTGGAAAAACTTGACCGAGGGGGCTCCTTTGTCCTCCTGGAAGGAGCCTGAGGGAACACAGCTGTTAGGGAAGTCTGCTCGCCCCCTGCCTGCGCTGAGTCACCTCCGACTCATGTCACAGGGCAACCTCGAAGCTGCCCGTCCGTCCGATAGCACACCGCCTCCTCTTCCTTCCACAGGGTGACCAGTGGGTTTGAACCCCCAGCTTCGTGGGAGCAGCCAGACCCTCCCTCTACAATCAGGCACCTCACTAGCATCGATTCCTAGGGGTTTCTACATTGACCCTCTTTCATGTAGACAAGTGAGGGTGAATTGAGTAGGGGACAGATGGAGGCGGGTCACTGACTCTAAAAGGCCTCTTCAGAAGCCCCGATAGGCACCGATACGGCTAACTGTCCAGAGATCCCGTGACGGTCAGCAGGAACACTGGCAGGGAGTCGGCGGCGTGTTCCCAGAGAGGGCTGAGGTGGTGGCCCAGCACAGTGGCCTTCCTAGGAGACACTGCACTGCGGTCTGTGGCTGGGCAGAGCTGACGCTGTTGTGACCTGGCTGACTCACAGGACCCGTGCACGGCAGAAGGGACTGCTGCCTGGTCCTGCACCGCCATCGCAGCCACTGGGTCCACCATCTTTTTCACTGTCCCTTCACTTTACCATGCATGAGGTCCTTCTCTGGGGACATCTGGTCTTTCCTGACAACATGCCCAAGAGAAGCCTTGCCATCCTAGCCTCGAACGGCAGTCCGGCTGTACAGCTTCCAAGAAGGATTGGTTTGTCCGTCTGAGAATCCGAGAGATGTTCAAACCCTTCGCCAGTTCCATAATTCAGAGGCATTGACACTTGCACGGTCTTCCTTCTGAGGTGTTCAACCTCCACGTACACAGGAGGCAATGGAAAAGAGCATGCACAGGCAGGCACACCGCACTCCCAAACGGCACGTCCTTGCGGTTCAACACCTGTGCGGCGGCAATGTGTCTTGAGGGCTCCTGACTGCTGCTTTTGTGAACACTGACTGCGGATGCAAGTAGGGCAAAATCCTCGAGAACTTCAATTTCCCCCCAGCTTGTAATCCTATTACCTGTTGGTCCAGTTGTGAGGATTTATTTGGGTCTTCCTTACGTTAAGTTGTGATCCACACTGAAGGCTGCACTCCACAATCTTCATCAGCAAGTGCTTCAAGCCCTCCTCACTTTCTGCAAGCAAGGCTGTGTCGTCTGTCTGTCTCAGGTTGTAATAAGGCTTCCTCTGACCCTGCTGCCCGCCTCCCTCCTCCTCTCGGATAATCTGCTCAGCACGCTCAGCGCACACGTTTCCTGACCTGAAACCCTGCGTGCCCCTGTTCTGCTTTGTGCATGTTCCCGTACAGGTCCTGCATGCGCACGACTATGCGCCCTGGCATTCCCCTTCTTCTCACTGCCACCCGTGGTCTGCCAGGGCCCACATGAAGAATGCTTTGTGCAGTCAGTGACACACAAGACTGCCTCTTGTCAGCAATGATATCCCTCGTGTCATGTCCTCAGCTGAAGCTGGCTTGAATTCCTGGCAACTTCCTAGCCATGTACTGCTGCAAACGTTGTTGGATGACCTTTAGCAAAATTGATGTCCACATGGTATTAGTAGCATTGGGCAGAAACTGAAGCATCTGGCCGAGACGCCTTCTTTAGGATGGTGACAAGATGCATCTCTGCCAGCTGGCTGACCAGGCCACCTACTTTCACACTGCTGGGCAGAGAACGTGTACTTCCAGTGCTTCATCAGGTTCGAAGCACCTCCATCAGTGGCGGCCACCAATTCCTAGCCTTGTTTTCCACCGAGGCCTCTGCGGGGTGCGACAGCAGGATGGAGGCATGCGTAGAAACAGCCCCCGTGACCCAGGGGCACACAGCGAGCACAGCTGACAGAGCCGTGCTCGATGAACTGTGGCCACCGGCCACCCAGTGGAAGGGCCGCGCGTCTGTAGTGAGCGGGAAAGGAGAGCCCAGCGACCTCTACAGGAGTCTCCGAGATATGCAACGAGCCGGCACCATGGCACAAGGCTGCCCGCTACGCAACCTAGACGAGCCAGCAGAGGGGCCAGAGTGGGACCTACATTCTGCTGGCACTTAGGGCACTGAGTGATCTTTGAAGACACGGCCCCCAGCCAATGGTGCCCACTGTGAAAGGAACAAGATCGTGTGTGATGCGCTGAACAAGGTCCTGGTGGTGCAGCAGGTTCTGTGCTGGCTGCAAACAGACGGTACGGGGCTTGTACCCGCCAGCTGCCCCCAGCAGAGACGAGGCTGTCTGCTCCTCACAGACTCAGGCTCAGGAAACGCATGGAGCAACAGCTCCACTGCCCTCCAAGGCCCGAGGGATAACCTTGGCCTTCAGCCTGCTGGTCAGGGGATCAAAGTGGACAGCAGCACGGAGGAAGGCAGGCTAAGGAAATAAAGCATTCCTCATGACTGGTCTCTGTTTAGGAAACCAGTTGCTACCATGGCCACCTGATGGCAGGGGAGTGGAACAGAGGTGCCTCTCCACCCTCTACCACTAGTCCTGTGATTTTACAAGGGAGGAGGCAGGTGCACCCCGCCATCTACAGCAGGGCCCCTCAGTGTGGCCCTTACCCAGGCCTGTCCAATCTTACCAACGAGTTCTCGAAAGGTGAGTTCCAATTTAATTTGTTCCGGGCTCGAGCCTCCAACAAACTCCGTCTTAAATTCCAGGTCTGTGACGGCCACGTGGAGAACCTCCTTCTGAAGGGACTTCTTAAACCAGGGCCCTCTCTCCTGGTCTGACCGGAGGTCAGGGATCGGGAAGCGCACAGAAAGGGCTAATGCTGGCGTGGTGACCTGGACTGACACCCGGCAATCTGCAGGGCTGTGGGAGTCATCTAGAAAGACTTCCGTGAAGGCCTTGTGCTGAAACATCAAGAACAGGCAAACTGTTACATGAATGACACTGCCAGTCAGCACTGTGCCAGCCGGTGTCCACCATCACAAGGCCGCTGAGGTGCCACGACTGCTCACGGGCTCTGGAATCCTATAACACAACCGAGACTGGCACCAGCCAGACCAGAGAGAGACGGACCCTCAGATAAAACCTGGAAACCCGCCAGGGAGAAGGGAGTCCGAGGGAAGGCGGGCAGGCATTCCAGGGCCTACCACGCTCCCGCCGGTGAGGAGTCAGGATGGTACCCTGCACCCCCAACGAGACGTGAGATGAAGCTGCCCACTGCCACGGCCCATCTTCACTGGACGACCCTCTAACTCAAGATCCAGGATGGGACCCACCCCAAACGCCTGCGCAACCCAAAGGCTCTGAGGATCAAATGTGTGGGTGCTGGGGACCCTAGAACACGTGCGAGCCGGGCAAAGCCTGTCTCTGCTTCTCTTTCAGGGGCCAGCTGGGTCTGGAAACGGTGACCACAGTTTACTCAGGTGGGGGCACTGCCATCCGCCGCCCACTCCCCGCCCCCACTGTGAGAGAGACCCATTCGCTCTCACACTGGACTCAGGGTTTTAACAAAAGCACTCTTTCTCTCCCCTTGTTGACTCCGCCTAAAACCTCATTTAAAGCAACGCCTCAGCTAGTGTGGTGGTGTGGCGGTCAAGCATGGGGCTGCTAATTGCAAAACCACTCCTCTGTCCCCATCAAGAGCTATGTCTCGGAAACCCCCAGGGCGATGCCCTGTCCTAGGCGGCACGTGAGCTGACATTGACTCATGGCACTGAGTTTGTTTGCTCTTCTGGTTTCATGATCTAGAATGGAGTAAGACCTGTGCATTGTTTCATGATTATAATAACGCTGCTTGCATGCTATCGTTAACTTATTAAGAGCATTAAAGCTCAGAGATTATTTGATACATCTGGACCCCCTTGTTGGAGGTACCGCTGCGTCGGTTTTTATTTCTCAGGACCCACGGCGACAGAGCAGAGCTGCCCCTTGGGGTCTCCTGCGACTGTGTCAGACTTGGTACGAGTCCAGCCTAAGGCTCCTTAGAAGGGATGATGCAGGACAGCGTCTCATGTCTCGGACATGTTGTCGGGAGGGACAGTTCCTGGAGAAGGATGGCGTGCTTGGTGAGGCAGAGGGTCAGGGAACAAGAAGAGCTCAAGGAAAGGGGCTGACCCAGTGGCTGCACAACAGACTCAGACAGCAGTGACTGGGAGGGCGGTTCAGGGCCAGGCAGGGTTTCCTTCTGTGGAGCACGTGGCTGCTGTGAGTTAGCACAGCAATGCTAATGACAATCTACAAGGGAGAAGACTACCAGGGTGTTCTCCCGCAGGGCCACGGGTGGGTTCCCATAGCCATCCTTTCCCACCTGCCCCAGGGCGGCAATGCTTACACCTCGGGACACGCTGGCATCAGGAGGGTCAGTGACGGCCGCTCCGACTTACCAGACTCGCATGCTTGCTGCAGGACGCGAGCATGTGAGGCACCATTGTGTCCATGGTGGGAAGCTTCTGTGGCTGGAGGAGGGAATTCAGCCTGTCCACCAGGCTGACGTCCAGCTCGCAAAAGATAGGGTGCAGCTTAATCTGCAGCTCTGCTTTCTGAGGAGCCAAGCCGAGCCTGGCTTGACCTCCCTTAAAAGCAGCAGGAGGGAAAATGGGCATGAAGTCAGCCTTCGAGCCACACCAGCCGTCCATTGCCCCCCAACGGGGTGCCCGCTGCCACGTACCTGGGGCCCTCTGCTCCCCGAGTGCTTGTAGTGAAGCTGCAGACACATGGCGGGGTGCGAGGCAGGCCCCTCGTGGGGGCGGGACACTAAGAGCTGGAGACAAAGAGGGGCGTGGGTGTGTGGGTCACTTCTGAACCAACAGTGGGGCCAACGTGGTCGTGGGGAAGCTTCCGGAAGTCACAGAAGTGGCCTGCGTTCTGGTGTCATCAGGCACGGGCACGCGACTCAGACATGCTCATCAACACCCGCCACACCCCGAGACTTGCCCGTCAGGCGAAGGCCAGGATCCAACCACGTGAACTGGTCGAGGAACCCATGGAAGGTCAAGTGACTAAATGGTGCCCAAGAGAGTGCTTTAAAAACAACGAGCCACCGTACAGGTGAACCACCAATGGCCGGTGCTGAGGGGCAGCACAGTGGCAGCAACCAGCCATGCCTGGCTTGGAGGAATCTCTCTAGAGCACACCTTCAGGAGAAGAGCGAGGCGAGGCGAGTGATGAAGGAAACGGGGGCGTTTCCCTTGAGGTAAACAGTGCTTGGCATGCAGCACACAGCCGGCAGCCCGGAACAGAGCTCTTCTGAGAGGAAGGCAACTTTGACCAGGCACCTGTCCCGTCACTCTGCTACGATGCACCACTTGGAGTGCCCCACCACCCACCTTG